CATGTGTCGGAGATGAAGTTTGTCCACTTTGCGCGCGGTTGGGCGCGCTGTTGGGCACCATGGGGAGGACCAACAGTTTCCGTGAGTTGCTTTCTGAGACCGCCAGCATCGATTTCGCCGCGGGCATGCGTAGTGGATGCTTGTCAGTGTGTCTGGATTTGCCTCCCGGGAGCCTCTTGAGGGTCTCCTGGGCAGCGGGGCCTCTGGGAGACTCTTTTGGAGGCATCTTGTGGTCATCTAGGGGAGTTGGGGCGTTTCTGGGGGGCTATTGGGCCCGAATCTGGCGAGAGCGCTGAAATCTTTCAAACATTGCAGGAGGATGGTGGATTCCCATCGGGGATCATCCTTTAAACTTGGAACGATACAGAGAAGATCAGCATGGCCTTTGCGCATGGATGACGCGCACACATCGAGAAGTGTATACAGTTTAAACAACAAGAAGCAACATTGCAGGAGGATGGTTTGGACATCTTGCAGCCGGCTTGGGGGTCATCTGGAAGCCATCTTTGCGTGTCAGGGTTTTCTGGAGCCGATTCGGAGCCCTCATGGACCGTCTTGGGGCCTGAGTCTGAGTCTGGGGCTCTTTGGTGGCGGGAGAAGCCATGCGGCATACCCCAGGAGTCATGCGGAACTCATGGGGAGACGCGTTATGTCGGAGTCTGGGCCTTCTCAAAGCGCATGTGGAGTATCCAGTGCGCAGAAATCGAGTGGGGCCCGAGGCTATTTTGCGTTCAGTGCATACGGCACGGCACTGCGGCGGGTATGGGTTGTACCCATCGGTCGTTGAAATTAGGCATCGTTGGATTCCCAGATCCCCATCTCCTTTAGCTGCCTTCCTACTTCAATGCTCGAGTGGTTTTCCCTCTGCCCTCCACTTCTGGAGGCGGGTGGAGACCCAATGTACTTCCAACGCCGTCCTCCTTCATAGTTCCACCTGCTTCTTCCGACCGATGGGTACAGTCGGGGCGCTGAAGAAGGAACTCTTTTCGTTGGGAAGGGGCTCGGCGTTCCTTGACTGTTGTGAAGTTTGCTTTAGATTTTCCGAAGGTTTTCCATGGGGAACCGAAGATCAACTTTTGGGAAAAAGGGGCCTCGCTCCTTATCCAGGCTTCCTTAGGTCAGCGCCCCGACTGTAAGGTATCTGGCGTAAGCCACGTGGTGCAGCGCACGTGTGAATCCAGGAGCGCCGGCCAGCACGCGAGAGACGCCCGGGAGGCGCGCACGGGCTGGCACCAGCCTAAACACCGAGGAGGCCAGCCAGCGCACATGGCGCCCACGAGGCGCCAGGTGTAGGGGGCCACATGTAAACCCTACCCCTACCCCCCACGATTTCCGAGGGGTGGGGTGGGGTTCCATTCGTTCGGGAGCTCCCGAGCGAAGTGAACCCCACCCTCCCCTCAGAAATCGTGGGGGGTAGGGGTAAGGTTCACATGTGGCCCCCTAAGGTGGGCACGGTTGGTTCGTGTCGTGTCAACTGGTGGCAACCCCGCCGCCGGCACTCAACGTTGAACGCCGCCGGCGACCCAGAATCGGTCGATGTTGAATAATCTGACGTTTCGGAAACGGCCGATCGTTCAATGTTGATTGATCCACGCGGTGTCAGAAACCAGCGCCAATGTCGACACGACATGAACCTGCTGTACCATCCGGGAACCAAGAAAACATCGTCGAATACGCAGCACGCACATTCTGCGCTTGGTGCCAGCACGATCTTGGAAACAACAGGAGCTTCTGTAGCTGAAAAGCTTCGCCCTCTGACACCTGCCTCCGTCTGACGGCTTCAGTTGCCATTCTTCTTCGGTTGGTTAGTTTGTTGGCTTGTTGGTTGGTTGACTGGCAACTCGGGTGGTTAGCCTAATAGATAATTGGCAGTTGGTTTGGCTGGTTGCTGGGTGGTTGGTTGCGCGCACCTGTAGGAGCTATACTTCTGAGTACCCCGAATGCGTCAAAGATGAAGGAATCGGGGCGCGTTTGTTATGCAGTCGACAAAAAGGATCGCGTTTTCGGGATTATTGGATTCGCGGCCTGGGGTCCAGACCACAATTTTCAGGAGATGACGGGGGGGCGGGGAGCGAAAAGTGCCCCCCGAACACATATCCCCATACAGAAAGTGTAGTTTGCTCGTCCTTGGAGTGGAGGGGGGATGGGGGTTGCCTTTGGAAGCCTCCGTGGGGTGAGTTCGTGGCTTCGGGAGCGCGACTTTGTAGCAATGTACCAGGCGTTGAAGCCCCTGGAGCACGATTCTATTACAATTTTCTGGGGGGGGGGTCGCGGGAGAGCGAATGCGTCGTAAGTTACCAAGGATTGTCTTTCTTGGGGGCGCAAACTTGTGAAAGATGCTAAGGTGTGTGCGTCGCGGAGCCATCAACGGATGGTTTCTGACAAAATTCGAGTTTCGAGCAGCTGTGAAGAAAAAAACACGCTCGGGATGAGAGACCGTTCCGTCTTGACCGTTGCGGAGCCGCGCTACAAGACATCGCGTCGGAGGTCCGGTGATGCACAAGTCCAGGCCTTCCAGATAGGGTCCGAACAGGTGGGGTCGAAATGTCGCGCCGCATCGCCGATGCAGCGCCCATGTGGCTTGATGTGGAGCACGATGTTCTCCACGCCGACGTCGGCGATGCATCGGCGATGCGGCGCGATCCTCCGTCCCCATCTATTTGGACCGCATTTGGGAGCCGCGCTGCAAGACAATGACGCGTCGGAGGTTTGGGGATGCACGAACACGCTCGCCGTGCTGTTTGTCGGTTGCTTCGCGGCGCCGGAGGCGGAGAGGCGGCCGCGACGGGGGTCCAAGGGCGAAGACTCCAGCGCCGGCGGCATCCACGTTGGCGTCCAGGAGCCTTGTTACTTCGGGGGCAGGGGCGTGACCATAGCAGATGGGGTCGGAGGATCGCGCCGCATCGCCGATGCATCGCCGATGCAGCTCGATGTGGAGCCTGATGTTCCCCACGCCGACGTCGCCGAGGCATTGCATCGGCGATGCATCGGCGATGCGGCGCGACATTTCGACACCATCTGCTCGGACCCAATTTTGGGAGGCTTGTAACGACGCTTCTTTCGCAGCCGCCACCGCGCACCAACACAGTGGACGTTAGTCGGGGTAGATTCGCAAAAGTGTGAGACGAGTGACAAGCCGTCCACGCTCTGCTTCGGGCGAATGCCCGCGTGAGTTTACTGAGTAATTGCAGCTCCTCCTCCTCCTCCTCCTCCTCCTCCTCCTCCTCCTCCTCCTCTTCCTCTTCCTCCTCCTCGTCCTCCTCCTCCTCCTCCTACTACTACTGCTACTACTAATTCCCGGATAGCTCGCTGAGAGTTGAGAGGGTTTCCAATTCAAAGTTGGCAGCATATGGTAGCCCCAGAGTTTTTTTGTCCAGCGCCGGTCCAGGACCCCCGCAGCGTTTCTTGAGAACTTGCAATTTGTCCCGAGAGCGTTTTCCCAATCGTTCCCGCTACGGTTCCGGGAAGTTTTTTTCCTACAGTTTCTTCGAAGTTCTTCCTTTGCTACTGCGAAGCTCTTTTCTCGAGCTTGCAAGCTCCCCAGGCATTCTTTCAAGCGACCTTGCAAGCGTCTCTTACAGGCGTTTCACGCGCTTTAGATTGCCCCACTATCTAGGTTTTGTACGCTTCAAGTCAGAGTCTTCGGGCTCCCAAGATAATCCCACGCCCTGATTTTTGTTGGAACGTGGCTCTCCAGAGGTCTGGGACCCTACCCGGCGACCAGCTTTTCACTCCGAGTCGTTCTGGGCTGGGCTCTGGGGCCGTCATGAAACGGTTCGCGGTGAAAAGTTGGTCCCACGGGAGAGGATCCTGATCTCTGGGGTCCACGTTATGAAACAAAACGCGGTGCCGGAGGCCGTGGTTTTGCGGGAGGTTTCGCGCCTCCGTGGCGGGATGCGTTTTGAGATTCGGGTCAAAACGCAGTTTGGACAACAAGAGAGGTCCAGGGACGATGTTTGAGGGATGATAGGGAGGAGGTTCCATGGTGGGGAAGAGGCCCCCCCGAGGAGGTGAGGGGGAGTGGGAGTCCGCATCCTCCCTCCTACGTCGCCTTCTACTCTTCCACCGTTCCGTCCAGCAGGCGTACTTACATGGTCATTGGCAGTTACATTAAGTCGGACACGTCCCCCTACAGGAGGAATATTCAAAAATTGTCAGCACATTCTATGGGAACGATGTTTAATTTATCATTTTCTAAAACCATTTTGGAGTATGTTTTGTCTGTTGCGCATTTTTCGCCAAAATTCACCTGTAGGGGACATGCCCGACCTGGCAGTAACAGGAATTGCCTCGGCTGAGACTGCCCGTTGCAAGATAAATCCGAGCCCTTTCCTCCCTGCGGCAGTGCCTTCTCCCCCCCGTCCCTTATTTCTCGCCTTCTCATCGTCCTCCGCCCCATCCTCTTCGCCCCAGAACTCGTTTCCCTCCCCGTCGTCATTCACCTGGTTGTTGGCACTGCCGTCGTGCTGCTCGTCATCCTCTTCCTCCCCATCCTCAGTGTCGTCGCTGCCCGCCTCATGCCTCTGAATTCTCCCCGTCCACTCTCCAACTGTCCTTCTCCACCCCCCTCGTCTCTCTCTCTCTCTCTCTCTTGCCTCCACTCTCCCCTCGTGATGCTCCTCCCTCTGCTTGCGCACTTGTTTGCTGCCGCCCTCCTCGTCCCCGCTCTCGTCGCCTCCCCCATAGGCCTTCGCGGCCTTCCTCGTCTTGCTCCTCCTCCTCCTCCTCCTCCTCCTCCTCCTCCTCCTCCTCCTCCTCCATCTCCTCCTCCCGCTCACTCCCCTATCCTTCGTCGCGCCCAGCCTCAACCCCCTCGCTCCATCCCCTCCCTCCTCCCTCTCCCTTTCTCGCTGCCTTCCCTCCCCTCCCTCCTCCCTCCTCTCCCTCCTCCCCTCCTCCCCTCCTCTCCCTCCTCCCCTCCTCTCCCTCCTCCCCTCCTCCCCTCCTCTCCCTCCTCCCCTCGTCTCCCTCCTCCCCTCCTCTCCCTCCTCCCTTCCCCTCCCCTCCCTCCTCTCGCTCCTTCCGCTCTGCCTTCTCGGCCCCCGTCGCACAGCACGCGTGGGCGCGCAGGGGCGCCCCCGGCCTGCCTCTCCTCGTGCGTTCGCGCCCCGGCGGTTCGCCGCTGCCGCCCCGCCCCGTCGTACGTCAGTCGGGGGCGGAAAAGAGGGGTGTGATGACTAGGGGGGGTTGGATATCATGGCGCGGGCCATGATTTTTCCGCAGATTTCATGGCGCCTCTTCTTATTTCATTACGTCCCTGGCCCCCCCCGCTGGGCCGCGCACATGCCGCCGGTCATGATTTGCACCCCCCCCCGCTTGGACACCCCCCTCTTTGCCGCTCCCGAGTCGGGAGGGAGAGAAACACACAGCCACAATTAGTCGTCGACTCCCAGGAAAATATGCGAAAATGTGGGAAGTGGGGGGGGAAGGCGAGAACCCAGAAGATGTGGGAAAATATTGGGAATCCTGTCATTTCTCCTCGTCCGCTCGCGCCCCGGCGGTTCGCCGCTGCTGCCCCGCCCCGTCGTACGTCGGGAGGGAGAGAAACACACAGCCACAATTAGTCGTCGACTCCCAGGAAAATATGCGAAAATGTGGGAAGTGGGGGGGGAAGACGAGAACCCAGAAGATATGGGAAAAGATGGGGAATCCTGTTATTTGTGTGTATTTATTTGTGTGTCCCAGGGCCCCTTCAGTACAATCAACCCGCATAGTAAGGATGGGCAACCTTCCCAAGGGTGCCCTTGCATCCTTGCCTCCTCGGTCCATCCTTCGCCACTTTTGTCGGCCGCGGCCCGCTCGAAGAGCTTCGACATGTGCGTCCAAGGCCCTTGCATCCTCATCGCGCATCCTCATCATACGGGTTGACTGTACCCTGGACTCCTCGCGTCTTGGAGCAGGTTTTCGGACGAGATGTTCGGTTTCCGAGGGGGGTCCGGCCTCGGGGTGCGCTCCTGCGTCTGCGCCTCGCCGAGGGTGACGGGCTCGTCCCGGACCGCCGCGGGAGGCCCGAAGCCCACCTCTTCCGCCGTTCCAGAAAAAATCACGACGCAGGGGTTTTAGACTTTTTCGGCTTCCCGGGCGGGGGGGGGGCACGGGATCACATGACCGTCGGAGAACTCGGGATGATAAGCCAGGCCCCCAGAGAGCCCACTGGAAACAATAACCGCTGAAAGCAAAATGAGCTCACTGAAAGCAAACACGTTCCACTGGAAGCAAACATGTGTGCAACACTTTTTGTTACCTGCGCGAGAGGTCGCCCCGTGGCAAAGGAGAGGAGGAGGGCAGCAGCACGGGAGGGAGGGGAGAAAAGGGGGAAAGCAGCAGCAAAAGCAGCAGCGCGATTGTGTGCAGCAGCAGCAGCAGCAGCAGCAGAGATGTGTGCAGCACAGTGTCAAACAAGAAGCACTTGCGCCCAGACCTTCGGGAGTCCACGTTGCGGCACAAGCCACGACGTCGGGGGTCTGGGGCCCTCCTCCCTCCTCCCTCCCGCCCCCCCTCTGGGGAGAAGGGGGAGGAGGAGAAGAAGGAGGAGACGAACGAGGAAGACTACGAGGGGGGGGAGGGGAGCCGGGGGAGGCGAGGGAAGAGGAGGGCGGGGGCAGGTGGCAGGCCAGCCCTCGGGCCCCTCCTGGCAGCCGCTCCGGCTGATGTAGCCAAGTGCTCCGTGTCACTGAACCCTCTCCACGTAAGAGCTTGGCGGAGTGCCCGTCGGGGGCGGGCAGTGCGGCGCGATGACGGCCGCCGCCGTGGCGATCTGGATCTCCCAGACCATCGGCTTCGCATCGGCGCTCAGCGGGAGACAGCAGGGGATAGCAGAGATCCTGGCCTCGGCCGACCCGAGCGCTGGGGTGCCTCACACGGTGGAGGCGGCGGAGGGCGAGCTGAAGGCACACGAGGGCGGGGTCAGCAGGTCCCTGTTCGCCTGGAGCGCTGGGGACGAGGAGGCAGGGGGGGGGCCAGAGCAGGTCTCGGGTGTTGAGGGCCTGGCCCGCAGCTTTGCGCTGGACCGCAAGAAGCCCAAGAGGAAGGCGGTCAACACGACCGTGGTGAAGAAGAAGAGGAAGCATTGGCCAGCGCACCTGCAGGCACGCCTGCTCCTGCCAGAGGCCAAGGTGGCCTTCTGCTACATGCCGAAGGTGGCGTCCGCCCAGATGAGCAGCATGTTCGGCGAGCTCAACGGTATCGACGAGGACTACAACGATCCTTGGGAGGCGTCTGGACCAAAGGCGCTCAACATCAGCTGGGCCAACGTGACGAAGGCGAATGGCTGGAAATTCGCCTTCTTTACCCGTGACCCCTTGGCGCGCTACCTCTCTGCTTTCGGCTCCAAGTGTCTGCCCAACTCCGACGGTATTGTGGAGGGCAACGGCAAGGATTGCTTGGGCAAAATTACCTGGCATTTTGCACCCATGGAGCAGTTGGTGCAAACTTTCGAGGAGCGTGCCAGGAACGACACCAAGAAGGGTCGACCCGCTAACAACTCTCACTGGTTCTCGCAGTCCACGTGCTTGCGCGCCTGTGGCATTGACCGGTTCCATCCGAAGGCGGTCGACTTCATCGGAAATCTCGACAACGATGCGCACGCCGAGGTCACCCGCATGTTTGACACCCTCGGCGTGTCGGCCGCATACCCGCAGGCGAAGGAGGTCGTGGAGAAGTACTTCCCCAGCGAGGGCGCCGGCCACTCCTCGAGGTCCCACAACAAGCAGGAACCGGGTGTTGCCAGCGGGGACTCCTCGCTGTCCTCCTCCTCCCCCTCCTCCCCCCCTCCTCCTCCTCCTCCCCCTCCTCCCCTCCTCCCCCTCCTCCTCCCCTCCTCCTCCTCCTCCTCCTCCTCCTCTCCTCCTCCTCCTCCTCCTCCTCCTCCTCCTCCTCCTCCTCCTCCTCCTCCTCCTCCTCCTCCTCCTCCTCCCATCCCCCCCCCAGCCCCCAGCTGTTCGGCCAACTTCGGAGCTCGTCCCTGTCCTCCTCGCGCCGTGGAACAGTCATAGACGGTCTGATCTCTGGGATTCTCGGTTCCTGGGGCCCTCACGGGGCCCCAGGGCCGTCAAGAAACGGCTCGGGGTGGAGGAAGCGGTCCCTGGGAAGGGCCGGCTGCATGCAAGCGTGACCCTTCGCCGAAGTGACCCTTAGCGCGCGGTTTTCGGGGTGCGCTTCAGGCCAGCAAGCAAGCACGCAGGCCGCCACTGTCGCACCGCACGCAACGGCCGGCCAGGCGCGAACCAGAGGTCCCGCTCGCCGGAGGGCACTCTGTCGTGCAGCGGGAAGGGGTCGAGACCTCGGGGCAGCCAAGTTGCGAAACGTAAGCACGACGTCGCATGTTTGGGCCTACTGTCGACTAGACGTAAGAGTGACCACCTTTCGCCGGAGTGACCTTTGGTGCGGGCACAGACGGGTCCTCCGATGGCTGAAAACGAAGCGGTAGCAGCGGCTTGCGCGCCCAGGTTTGGTGTCCCCGCGGCCCCCCAAAAGCCGCGCACCAAAGGTCACTCTTACCCAGGGTCACTCTTACGTGTAGCCGATACGGGTCTTGCCTTGAGGCCACCGAGGCCATCTCGGAACAGCTGGTGTCGCTTTGGGCCAGGGGCCAGGTCCGCCTTTGGCAGCCCCCAAAGGACACGTTCTACAGAAACCGCACCACGGTGTGGCTGGTGAGCAAGCTGTACCAGGAGGACTACGAACGCCTCCACCTCAAGAGGCCAGCCGTTCCGAGGAGAAAATGATGCACCGACAGCACTGGACTTCTCTATGTTTCTCTCCCCTTTGGGGGGCCGTCCTGGGAGGCCCTAGTCGCCACGGCTGGATCCGCTTCGAATTCCTGGTCAGAACGCGCCCCGGGAGAGGTCGGGGAAGTAGCGGTATCAGACATTGTTAGTTTCCCAGCCGTGGTGGCGATGGTCGAGCGGACGGCAAGGGGGTTTGGGCAATGGATGGGCGGGGGTCGAGGACTGCAGGAACGTGGCCCCAAAGGTGGGGCCTGCTCGGCATCGGAGACTTTGGCCAGACACGGCGGTCGGACGGCCACTGCCATTGACTTGGCATCGCTCGGACGTGTGCATTTTTTCCTCGGTGGGGACCATCGAGGAGCACCCTTGATCATTTGGCGAAAAAAACACGCACGAAACCGACAAATGAACGGGAAATGGACGTCCGAACGACGGCAAGTTGATGGCGAGGCAGACCCCGACACTTACGATGCCGAGGGGGCGCCATGTTAGCTCGGATGCCCACCCCTGTCGATGGACAGCCATTGGCAACCACTCCTCGCTCCTGAAGCTATCATGCCAGACCCTTCTCGATGGACAGGCATGGACATCCCGCCCTCGCCATGCGGATGATGCCACCTCTCCGATCGCCGATAACGCTAAGGTTGTAGAATGTGTTGAAGCGGGCACCATGGAGGGCTGGGGGGGTCATCCGCACGATGCGCCAGGCGGGAAGGCACGTACACGTTGCATGATCGGGCGCATCAGCGCACGCTGTACCATTCCTCGGTCGAGCCATCTTCACGGCTAGTCTCATCTTACGTCCCCAAGCGAATCGCAGAAGTTTCTGACCACGCCACCAGGCCGCTGGACAACCCGAGTGGGCTCCAAACGTGACCCAGTTGCAGTGGCGACATGGAAGCCGAGCGGAATCTCTTCACTCTGTCCCACGGTCGTTCCTGAACCGACAGGGGCTTTCGGAAAGTATTCTCCTGGGTTGCATTGCCCCGTCGAGCACGAGGTTCAAGTTGAACCGTCGCATTCGAGGTAGTACGTGTTGTTTCTACACCGCCACATTGCTGTCTGGTAATTTGTCCAGCAACTCCACTGTTTTGCTCCACAGTTGCCCTGCCCTCGAGTGGCATATCATGGTGGTGCACCAGACTTCTGGCCTCACCGACGTGGTCAATGCGCCCCTAAGCCATAGCACGTTGAGTTCCTCCTCTTCTTCCTCCTCCTTCTCTTTCTCCTCCTCCTCCTCACCGCCAATTGTTTCGTCGTGATTGGGTAATTGAGCCAGGAGGTCGGGGGGCCAGGGAGTCCATGGAACGTTCCCCTTGGGATTGTCGAGATTGGCAAAAATTTGATAGAAGTCGTCGAACGCAAGGATTTCGCTCAACTCGTGAAAGCATGCTTGGCTCGACGCGCAGGGCGCACCGGCTCTTACTGCTTAGCAAGCGGCACCCACCAAAACAATAGGGGCTCGCCAAACAGCAACCGCCGCAACACTATGTTTGGATCATGTTGGTATGTTGATTGAGGTGTTGTTGATGTCTGCTTGGGTGCGTAGGTATGTGAGCAGCTACGGCAGGTTCGCGTCGTGTCGACTGGCGGCGACCCCAGCGCGCGCATGTAAGGTTGAACGGCGCCCGTGGCCCAGAATCGGCCCGTCGTTGGACGATCCGGCGAACCTGTCGTATGCAGCTAGAAGTTTAGGAGAGTGTGCACTTTCGCAGACCTTGTACGTATGTTCTTAGCTAAGTAGCTCGGCGATGAGGGGATCGGTATGCGGGAATTCAGGCAGGCAGGTAGGCAGGTAGGTACCCAGACTTCCAACGCCGTGATTTTCTCATAACGTGGCTCCCCAGAGGTCTGGACCCCTTCCCTGAGGCCAGCTTTACGTACCGAGTCATGTTTGACAGTCTTGGGGCACAGTGAGGTTCTTAGAAGCCTGACGTTGCCGAATACCTTCCGTCGAATAATTTGTTTACGAAGCAAGGGGATCTTGGTAGGTAGGTAGCGCAAGGAGGAGGAGGAGGAGGATTGCAGACGCCTCCGACTGAACAGGCCGGCCGTGTGGAACGAGGCCGTGGAGACCAGCCGGCAAGAGAGGTCTCCGGGCCCTTTAACCTGCCACGTCCGGCAAGCTCCTTCCAGTCTCCTTTCCCCCAGAGGCGGCAGGGAGCGAGGAGGAAGAGGAGGAGGAGGGCCCAGTGCAAATCCAAGGCTTACCAACGATATTGCATCAAACCCTCCAGATTCCCTCTTCGTAGGCGCCTGCACGGATCTATCTTCACGGAGGGAAATGCCCAGTTGGGAGACAATTGTTTGAGAATCCGGTTTTATGCCAGAGCGCCATTCCTGGGATTTCAATGCCGCGAATCATTGTGATTGTTGTGCCTTGCCGATCCTGAATCGTTCCAGAACGCTGGGACTTCAACACCGCGAAACAACGTGATTGTTGCGCCCTGACATTCCGACACCGCACCAAAACACCATTTCTGAAACGTTAGCCATGATAATCGTTGAAACGTTTGTAAACTCGTAGAACGCATGCGCGCGGCACTAAGGTGAGAGCCACCTTTTGCAAATGAGCCGCCCTCCATCCGTGATACTCCTTGCACATTTTGAAGACGAGTTTTCGCGGCGCGAAGACCAGAGCCACATGTTGAGAACGGACCGCTCTCCATCTTCTGTAACTTTGGAAGGCGATTGCACGCGGCGCTAGGGCGGCGAGATCCACAGTTTGAAAGCGGACCGCCTTCCTTCCGTGAAGTTGCTGCAGATCTTAAGTTTCGGGATCATAATTTGTGAGGAGGGCTCCAGCGAAACGCCTGGCCAGCCCTTTCGATTGGCCGCGGGTTGCGACAGGGAGGAGTTATGTATAAGGGTCACCGAGCGCGTTCCGCTTTTCGCAAAGTCCCTACTCGCAAACGCCCGAAACAATGCGTGGCCTAGACCCTACATGCATGCCTAGACATAATGCATCGCAAATCCCCAATGGCGGATCCAGGTCATATGCGAGTAGTTACTTTGCGAGTAGTGGAACGCGCTTGGCGAAATGAGATAGACTCGGGAAGGAGGGGAGGGGGGGGGGCGGAGGGAGGGCGACGAGGGGGGAGGGCGGGAACAGAAGTGGGGGAGGGGGGGGGGGGGCGAGGAGGGTCGGGGGGCGGGGAGCGGAGGCGAAGGGAGAGGAGGGACGTGAGACGGAGGGGTGAGCCAAGAGAGGGAAAAGGAGGCGGGAGCGGGGTCGGAGGGAGGAGCCGGGACGGCCCGGAGCGAGCAGGGACGAGCGGGGAGTGGGAATGGTTGGTGGCAGGGGCGGGGGAGAGGGGTGGCGAGGGGGCAGGAGAGGGGCAAGGGGGACGACGGGAGGGGGCGGGGGGCGAGGAGGGAGGGAAGAGAGGGGGAAGTCAAGCTGGGCGCGCTCGTCCTAGCCCTGCCTCCCGCCCCTTCCCACTGCGCGGTTGTTCTCTCTATCCGCGGACGCTTGTCTTAGCCGACCTGGGACTCCGCCGAAGACCACATCGCGTCGTGCGCAGTCGGAAACAGGGGAACCCGTGGGACTTGTGCGACCGGGGGGGCCCTCTGTGGCCCGTGAGACCCGCGAGTCCTGCGGGACCTGTGGGGCCCGTGGGACCCGTGGGACCCGTGGGACCCGTGGGACCCGTGGGACCCGTGGTTATGAGGAAAATCCTGGAGGCCTCGCGCGGCGCGAAATAGCTGCACTATCTAGTCGACACGTCAGCTCCGTAAGCCATGGGTCGACGCTCGCGCGGCGATGCTCCGGCGTCAGCCCGACGTAATTCCGACGTAATTCCGACGTAGTCCGATGTGAACCCGACGTAAATCTGACGTGGGTCCAACGTAAAAATTGGGTCTCAAGGGGCCGCGCGAGGCCTCCAGGATTTTCTTCATAGCTGTGGGACCTGCGATAGCAGCTGGACCCGTGGCACCGACGGGACTTGCTGGACCTGTGGGACTTGGGGGACCCCTGAGTGACATGTGAGACACGCGACTCTGCTGAGACTTTCAAGACCTTTCGGGCCCGTGGGATCTTGGGCATGCGAGACGGACAACAACTGTGGGACCTGAGGAACCTGTGAGACCGGTGCTACCTGTGGGAAGTGTGGGACGACCTGCGACACTTGCGGTTCCTCTGGGACCTGTACGGCCTGCGAGGTTTGTGGGATGCAGAAAAGTAGCCCACGTTGGGGCAGGAGCGCCATTCTTGAACGATGGGGGCACAGCGCCGATTCGAAAATGCGTCCCGCGCTGTTGCGAGAGCACCGAGTTTGAAAAGCTGTAGGCAATCGAATAGTCAGAAACCATATGAAACCCAGCTCGTGCAACTCCTGTGTGCAAGAAAACAGGGCGCGGAGGGGGGGCGACTACTCTCAGGACATAATTTGGGGGAGAGAGGAGAGTAGTATCTATTCATATTGTGGAATGTCTTGGCCCCCCCGCCCTCAGTTGCTCTTGAAAGCGCTGGGTGTGTTTTTTGTTACCTGGTTCAGCGCTTCGAGTTGCGGTGGACCAAAACAAAAGAACATAGACGGCAACCCACAACAGGAAAACAAATGCATCCCAACAGATACATCAATTCACAGACACGGAACACCTAAACCAACCAACGTTGAAACAACAATGATAAATGTGATCGCAAACGAACCGAAAATGGCGAGACGGCCAACAAGCACGGAAATCAACGGCCCCGAAAACAGAATCACAATCTCGAGTTTGCAATCAGTAAAACAAAAGCTGGCCTCCTCTCCTCGCCCACCCCCTCCAGGGTAGCAGATATGGCCAGGGGTCAACGAGAGAGGAGGGAGAGAAGGGAAACAGGGAAGAGGGACCGAGAGGTGGGCGGGGAGCGTTGCTGCTCCTTCGCAACGAGTGGGCCCACAGAGGTCCCGACACTTTCCCGTGGACCGCAGTTCCATCCCGGGCTACAGTGGAGACCCATGACAAGAAGCACCCCGCTTGCCTCCAGGGTGCCCTGGGTTTCCTGGGTTTCGATGGTTTTTGCGATGGAAGGCGTGATGCCCCACACCAAAGACCAATGAGCGTCCTGGGGTCTCAGGGCTGGGTTTCTTCTGGGAGGTGTCTAGTGGACGGGCCTCCACTGTATTTTTGGATGGCCTGGGGCGCGGGGGGGGCCCCTGATGGGCTGAAGGTGGGCTCGTTCTGTGATTGCTGGCCCCGAGCCAAAGCTCCCGGTCGATTCTGGAGGTCGCTGCGGCGATCGCGGCCGCCAAACATCGGGTCAAGTCTGTGGTCGAAGAGTGGCATGCCCGTTCCCAGCCCTTCCCCGCTGTGCGATGCAGACGTGGCTCGCAATCCCCCATCTAGCCCTCCTGCGTTGGGCTCTCGTTTTGAACAGAGCACTGCGGTCTCCGTCCTCTCCCGCCCCCTCACCCCTTCTCGCCTGCCTCTCCCCTGGGGGACTGCGGTCTGCGAGACTGTCGCCTCTTTCGAGGGCTGCTGGGGGGGCCAGCATAGGTACGCGCCGCAGATTCAGACTAGACCTCGCCATTCCTGGGGGGGGGGCTGCGATCTGCGAAACTGTCGCCACTTTCGAGGGTTGCTCGGGGGACAGCATAGTGGGCACGCGCCGCAGATTCAGACTAGATGACTAGACCTCGCCATCCCTGGAAGGGGTCTGCGATCTGCGAAACTGTCGCCCCCCGTTCGAGGGCTGCTGGGGGTGCCACGCATAGTGGGGGTCTGCGATCTGCGATACTGTCGCCACTTTCGAGAACTGCTGGGGGGGCCAGCACAGTGGGTACGCGCCGCAGATTCAGACTAATCCTCGCCATCCCTGGAGGGGTCTGCGATCTGCGAAACTGTCGCCACTTTCCAGGGCTGCTGGGGGGCCATTATAGTGGGGGTCTGCGATCTGCGATACTGTCGCCAGTTTCGAGGGCTGCTGGGGGGCCAGCATAGTGGGCACTCGCCGCAGATTCAGACTAGACCTCGCCATCCATGGGGGGCTGCGATCTGCGAAACTGTTCGCCACTTTCGAGGGCTGGTGGGGGGGCAGTATAGTGGGCACTCGCCGCAGATTCAGATTCGACCCCGCCATCCCTGGGTGGGCTGCGATCTGCCCAACTGTTGCCACGTTCGAGGGTTGCTGGGGGGTGCGGGGCCAGCATAGTGGGTACTCGCCGCAGATTCAGACTAGACCTCGCCATCCCTGGGGGGGCTGCGATCTGCGAAACTGTCTCCACTTTCGAGGGCTGCTGGGGGGGCAGTATAGTGGGCACTCGCCGCAGATTCAGATTCGACCCCGCCATCCCTTGGTGGGCTGCGATCTGTGAAGCTGCCGCCACTTTCGAGGGCTGCTGGGGGGCAGATTAGCCAGCTACTGAAAACAAATATTGAAAACAGCGGTACGCTTCTGTTTCCTCCCACCATTTTCATCGTCATCCGATTCCCCTTTGTCACCTTCTCCATGCTGCTGCTGCTGCTGCTGCTGCTGCCGCGATGGCCCCTGCCCCACAATTCCGTCATTCTTTTGCCCGTCGTTCCCGCCCCCGTTCTTCTTCAAGCCTTGGGCCCCAATCCTCGTCCTGCCGATCGCTGTCCCGTGAGTCGTGCAACGTGCGCGCATCCCATGTAGCTTGCACGACAAATCGCCGCACTTGCATTGTTCCTGCCAATATTGGCCTACGTCTCTTTCCACTCGATGCGAATGGGATGGGTACGTCGCAGGGTAATTTTTGCTGGGGGTAGATTATCACGCAACCACCTCGAGGGGCGTACAGTGGGCGAAAACTTGCCGCCGTTGTTTCTACAACGCGAGGAGGTATGGCGTTTGCGTCATGGCTCGGGTCTCCCGCGTGCGCTCGGAACGATCCAGACAGTCCTGGAACGCCCCGTGGCTGGAGAACTCCAAGGACCAGCAAGAGAACGTCCGAACACTTCCACTAAAGGCCCCCCAGAAGCTGAAAATTGCTAGACGCCTGACGTCGTTGATTGCTTCACGACGCGATTGAAGAGGTTTGGTCACATAGATTGCAACAGATTGTACATAATATGCTAGAACGCGGGCTAACGTTCTTTTTGTTGAGTGTCGACGATCGCGCAGCCACCACGACGGGCGAACATGGACGATGTCCTCCGGATTTGTCCTTTCCACGACGCGAGGAGGTTTGGCTTCCGCGTCCTGGCTCTGGTCTGCGTCGGGCGCTCGTGCGACGTCCGGTCACCCCCGGCAACGCCCTCGAGGCGAGGTGCAGAGGGGCGCGGCTGCAGGAGAGCCCCCCGGAGGCTGGAACACTCCTTAGAGCAAAAATCCTATTTCATCTCCTGGGTCGATGGGAAGGATCGGATGGGCTAGGACGAGGACCGTCAAAGCACGACTCGGGATGAGACACTGGCCTCCAGGGAAGCGGTTCAGACTGCGGGGGAGCATCGGACGGGGTGTGGAAGAGGATAAATCCGTTCCAGAGCGATCCAGAACGCGCTCCGAGAAGGCCGCGGCGCCCAAGACACCGTCCAGAGCCGCCAGATCTGAGATGTTCGGTTTATCCTCACCCGAAATTCTCCTCGTCCTGGCATCGTCTTAAGGGAGGATGCCCCTGCCAGTGGCCGATCCCGCGGCCCCCGCACGGGCAAGAGGTTCCACGACGACGAGCTCCTGACCCCGGAGGACATCGCCAGCATCGCCGCGCTCGAGGCCGAGAGGAACGCGAACAAGGACAGGCCAGAAAGAGTTGTGCATCCATCTTCAGAGGCTCTACTACCCTTATCGACTACAACACTTGTTGTGTCCAAAACCCGGATAGCGAGGCGACAGAAACGTCCAGGTTGTCTTTCGAAGGAGCTCTAGAAGCTCTGGGAAAGATATTCCGGACAGCTCGACGGCACACGTATTGAGAAACTATTAGAACAGGCTTTCCCGGACACGCTGCGACTTCCACCAAATTCATGCGACGTTCTTTGCCGACAGCGTGAACGTCCATCCTCGAGCGCTCTATGACCCTCATTGAATACAACAAACAAATGTATAACAATGAGGTTGTGGAGCTCCGCGCGGATCTCTTGCATCGGCGCTGGGCCAACCTGGCGGTGCCTTCGGCGCCGCCCCTAGCGCGCTCCGCGCGCCAGGGAGGGGGGGGGGTTCAGCGCAGTTCCAAGAAATCCGCGCGGAGCCCCGAAGGTTTAAGACGCCTATTGCGAATCACCGTCGCCCCGTAAGGAGGAGGAGGAGGATGAGGAGGAGGAAGAGATCAAGGAGGAGGACGACGAGGAGGATGAGGAGGTGGAGGACGTCGAGGAGCAGGAGGACGAGGAGGAGGAGGATCAGGAGGAGCAGGAGCAGGAGCAGGAGCAGGAGCAGGAGGAGGAGGAGGAGGCCTCCCCCCTTCCCCTCCCGGCAGGAGGCGGACAATCAGAGGCGCAGCGCGGCCCACGGCGCCCGCGCGCCAGGCCTTGTGGCGGCGCTGCTGCCGCTCATGGCCCTCGCGGCCGCCAGGGCGGCGGCGTGCTGAGCCGGCCGCCGTCCGCGCAGAGGGGCGTTTGATGGGCAATTTGTTCACCATCACTACCAGATGCAGGACGGGAGAGAAGGGAGGATGAGGATGTCCTCGTCCTCCTCCTCGTCCTCCTCCACCTCCACCTCCTCCTCCTCCTTCGAGTCGTCATAGCGTGCGGAGTCGAACCCTTCCTGAAGCCATGCGATGGTTCTCCTTCTCCTCCTCCTCCTCCTCCTCCTCCTCCTCCTCCTCCTCCTCCTCCTCCTCCCTCGCGCCTACCTATGCTAGTGGTGGTGGAAAACGGGCCCATCCGCATTCCTGTTCGGGCGTTGCGTAAGGGGGGATGACGCCCGGGCATGCCCGCGTCGTAAAAATATCAGGACGGGAGGTGCATCGCCGTCTTCAGTCTCCGGGGGCCCTCGCCTGGTCGAACAACGACTGAGGATGAAGCGCCGGTCCCGGCGACAGGGTTTGGACTTCGGGCGATACCCAGAGGAGGAAAAGGTACAAATATTGTTACCCCTGTCTTGTCGTCGCCGTTTTGGGCCTCTTCGGAGGCCCGCGTCGCCACCGCTGGATTCGCCTCGAAGTTCTGGTCGGAACGAACCCCAGGAGAAGCCCAGAGGGTAGCGGTATCGGTACTCTCTGGTTGCCCTATAATGGGGGGCGATAACCATCGGTAACGCTTCGGATTGCGCGAAGACAGCTCCCCCAAAGTAGTCCCGGCTGGCCTCAGCAACTTCCCGGAGTAGTCCCAGTTTGCTTCAACAGACCCCCCGAGTAGTCCAGGGCGGTCTCAACACCTGAACTTTCGGACGTTTCGCAACGGGGGGTGCGACGCCCATCGGTGTTTGAAGGTCGATACTTCATGTGGGGACGATAACTTGATGGACCTGTTTTCCACCACCACCACCATAAGTTGTAGGGGGGGAGGGGCTCCTCCTCCACCTCCTCCTTCTCCTCCTCCGACTCGTCCTCTTCCTCCTCCTCCTCCTCCTCCTCCTCCTCCTCCTCCTCCTCCTCCTCCTCCTCCTCCCCCTCCAACGTATGGTGGTGGTGTTGGTGGAAAACTCGGGGGCGGCAAAGAGGGGGGTGATGACTAGGGGGGGGGGATATCATGGCGGGGGCCATGATATTTTTCCAGATTTCATGGTGCCTTTTCTTATTTCATTACGTCCCTGGCCCCCCCGCTGGGCCACGCACATGCCGCCGGTCATGATTTGCACCCCACCTCTTGGACACCCCCCTCTTGGCCGCTCCCGAAAAACAGGCCCATCAATGAGCTCGTAGGTCCGTGCGGACTTCTCGGATGGGCTCTGGAGCTCCTTGGCGGCTCCCCCGCCGCCCTTGGCGCGCTCCGTGCCCCAGGGAGGGGCATTCAGCGCGGATCCAAGAAATTCGCGCGGACCTCCAGCATTTTACGCTTATATTGTGCGCGCCAGGTTTGGGCCCGAGGTCGTTTTCACAAAACCACGTTTTACTATAGGGGGTTCTGTCCATCCTCGAATGTTGTTGTAAGTAGTATAATTCTGAGTATCGTCTTCGGTGGAGCTCCCCATGGGGCCACAAGACCCGTGAGGAATGCGCTGACGTGGTGTGGAGAAAGCATGCGGGCCCTGGCACCAGGGCATTAGGTGGAGCTCCTCATGGGGCCACCAAACGTGTGAGGAGTGCGCTGACGTGGTGTGAAGGAAGTATGCGGGCGCACCCACTAGGGCCGTGGGTGAGGCTCCCTCATGGGGCCACTAACGTGTGAGGGTATCGCCGACACGATGTGGAGAAAGCCTGCGGGCGCAACCACTGGGGCCTTCGGTTGAGCTCCCCCATGTGGCCATGACACGTGGGAGCGGTATGCCGATTTTTGCTGAGAGGTGAAGCGCAGTTGCAGGAGCGCACCCTGAGGCAGGACATCCTCCCCGGGTGTCGATCTGCGCGCCCGAAATTCTCGAGCGAGGAAGCTTTCCCCGGGAACCAACGAAAGGCCCTCTCCCCCCTCTCCCCCTTGGCATGCAGCTTCTGGGGGGTTAAATTCGGAATCGGCGACAGTGTATCCCTGGTCGGACATTGGCCTACCTGCAATCTGAGCTAATCCCGCTCGCTCCAGCTTAATCTCATGTAATATGGCTTCATGCGGGGCTCAAACCAGACTGATCCGGCTTCGTGGCCTGCGAATCGGGTTTAGTAGCCTTTCGGTCTGACGTAGACCTCCCAAGAGTTGCTTCCTAATCACCCCTGTCCTCCCCTTTTCCCTCCCCCCCTTTTCTTCGCCTTGTCCTCCGCGCCAGATGCCGCGGGTGCGGTGGACGGGGCTCCGGCGGGGCCGTTTCGGGTTGCCGCCGTGCTCGGCGCACCGAGCGCGCAGCACGGCGAGGTAAAAAGTGGGCCCGTTGCGCGACGCGTCCTCCGCCCTCGCCGGCGTCGTCATCGTCGTCGTCGTCGTCGTCGTGGAGGTCGGGGTGGTGAAGAAGCGACACCACCGCCAGGGGGGTCTGGCAGAGTGCGGCAGGCCCTCGCCCCTCGCCTCCGAGGGGCACCCCGAGCAGCGCGAGGCCCGAGGCACCGTGGGAAGATCTCACGAGGCAGAGCGCAGGCGAGGCTGTGCCCCCGCCTGCTGGAGGGCTGTCGACCCTCCTGCGTGAAGGCCTCGCCCACTTCCATGTCGTCTCGTGGGCAGCTTAAGCCGATGTCGGAGCATCCTCGGAGGGGCAGTCTGCCTCATCTCAGCTCGTCCTCGCCGTTGCCTCTGGCCCGCGCCTCTTTGTCGCGGCCAGGTTGCTTCTACTATCATGTATTGTTGTATGCGTGATTGTTCCGTGTGGGTGCAGGCCCACAGCGAGCCGAGCAGTGGCAGAAGCACGGGGAGGATGAGGGGACGGGGGGAGGAGGGAAGGTGGAGATGGACGGGCATCCGTAGGCCAGACGCGGGGGCTGGATGCTTTGCCTCTTTGCTCCTCCTGGTCCTCCACCAGATAAGGAGGGTGGTAGCGCTGGCACGCCGCCGCCGTCGCCGTTGGCGACGGCGCCGTCAGCACCGTCCACTGCGCCGCGTCGTCGTTGGCGACGGTGTCGTCGGCGTCGGCGTGGGCGTCGGCGTCGGCGTCGACGCCGGCGTCGTCGTCGTCGTCGAGGCCGTGGTCCACGTCGTCGTCGGCGGTGGATGGGGCGGCCTGAGGATCGCGTGCGGGGCGGTCACACATGCGATCCGGACCCGGGGGGGCATCTTCGGCCTGGAGCTCTTCCTGTTCTCGGAGCGCTCCCGCCAGGCCGGGGGGGGGGCACCAGGGGCAGGGGGAGGATTAGGAGGAGGAGCAAGTGGAGGAGGAGAGGAGGAGGACGAGGAGGAAAAGAAGGAGGAGGAGGAGGAGGAGGAGGAGGAAGAAGAGGAGGAGGAGGTGGAGGAGGGAGGAGGAGGAGAGGTGGAGGAGGAGGAGGTGGAGGAGGAGGAGGGAGAGGAGGAGGAGGAGGAGGAGGAGGAGGGGGAGGGGGAGGGGAGGAGCCTCGGCCGGCGCACCCGCTCCGCCCTGGGAGTGGCCGCTTGCTTCGCGTCGCTCCTGGCGCAGCCGCCCTGCTGGAGGGGCGGTGAGGGAAGACGCAGGCTCCCGCAGAGTGCAGCCAAGACGCTGAAGTAAGGACCGCTTTGGGTTCGGAAGGGGCTCGGGGATTGGGGTCGTTTCTTAGATTTATGTCGCGGGATTTGCTTGTGGCCTAGGCCCACCGTGGCCAGAAAAGCCCCTTTGTTCCTTATTTGGCGTTCCTTCGGGTAGTACCTCGACTGTACCTCCTCCACGCGCAGAGGCGGGTGGGGGGGGGGAGGAGGAGGGTTTCTTAGAAGCACCCCTGCTTCTTAGAAGGCGCGGGCCTTGCCGACAGATGTAAGGCTGGCGCCGTCTAAGAAGCAGCCTCCTTGTAAGAAGCCCTCCCCCCTTCCTCCACCCCGTTGTACGCGCCGCCAAGCGGACGGCGCCGGCTCCCGCAGGGTACCCGCGCCCGCGGCACCAGGACCCGCGGCGCTCGGAGGAGGAGGAGGAGGAAGTGGGGAAGGCGGAGGAAGGTACGTCCCCAGACCCCCTCGAGTCATGACAAAAATCATGACGGAGGGTTCTACCAAATTTTCGGCCTCCGGAGGCCTTCACCGGCCCTCGAGGCCGTCAAAAAACGATTCAGGATGAGAAATTGGTCCTGGGGAATGGGTCGAGAATTCGGTCGACGTCGCGAACAAAATCACGACGTCGGTCGGGGTCCGGGGAGGAGGAGGGTAAGAACCTTGGACGGCCCAAAAAGGCCCTGAGAGGGCCCAGGGCGTGTCGACTGTGGCCCAACAGCGTCCCAAGGTGGCCCAAGGAGGCTCCGATATGGCCCCAAGAGGCTCCGAGATGGCCCCAGTGTTGCGCCAGGGCTTCTCTGGAATGTTTGATGCGGTTCCAGGTCTTCGCGATATTTGTTGGACGCTGCCTGTTGTTCTCTGGCGCATGAAGTTCATGAGAACCGCGAGGTCGGTCATGGCCTTTGCTCGACTCGTGGCCCGCCCTTGCTTCGACTGTCGACGGTCGCGAGCGCCCCGAAGATTGCCCGAGAATCCTCCAAGAAGGATCCAAGACGGCTCCAAGGCCGAGGAAACGAAGTTGATCAGACCCAGAAGGGTTCAGACCGCGCGCTGAAATGGCGTGGGCAGTATCGAATTCCATCTTCCATTGCGCTTCGCTGCTTGCGCTGATGCGCTGGCACGAAGGCGGGATTTGCCGCACGCCGCTGGGTCAGGTTTGTCATCGGGCTGCCCACAAGGTTCTCCATTAGGCTTTCCATCTGGTTATCCATCGGGTTCTCCACTAGAGTGGCGATTGTGAGGATTGCTACGAATACGACAAACCAATTTCCGCGATTGTGACAGCATGAAGGCGGAGGGCTCGGACGCGAGGTTCGAGCTGTCGGGCTGCGCGAATGATGTCTCGATCAGGACGCTCGGGCGATCTTCTGCGCAGCCAGAGGGCCTGAAAAATCGCGCTCCAGCGACCAGCACGGAACAGGAGGCTCGAGCACGAGGCTCTAGCTTTTGGGCTGTGAGGCATTTGGTCCGACCGTGGCGTTCGAGCCAGACGTGTGCTTCCTGCCTGGTCTGAGACCATGGCTTTCGAACTGGATGGTTCTCCATAGCCTTCGGGCTACACGGAATCATATTCGGCCGCCCTGCTTCGAACAGGATGGTCGCCTGAGTTCACTCGAACGCCGGAGTGCAAATGAGTTCTGAGTTTCCCGTCTGATTCGAACCACAGCCTTCGGACCTGATTCCGTGAAGCCTCAAGGCTATGGGGGACCATTTGGTTGGAACTACAATTGCCGACCACGACATCAAACGCAGGTTTCAGACTTCAGGGGAGTGGGCGCCCGGGTGGGGTGCATCACCAAGGACCAGCTTTGGAGCCCCTCTTCGGGCCCGGCGCTTTGGGAACTCCAGAACTGAGCCGTTGAACAGTTCGTTGGAAAATTAAGAGCGGTGCCGCTCTCGTTCCCAGATTGGAGGAGAGGTTATGCGAATTGGCAGATTTCAGCAGAGGGGGGCCTGGAATGGCCGAGGCCATGTCAGGCCGACCTATCCAAGCAGAAACAAAGAAAGAGCTTATGAGAGGTTGCCGATTGCGTTGTTTCCGCTATGACGGGATACCAAAGCGGTCCCCGACGCGATTGTCATTTTTCATGGCGGGGACAATGGGTCGTCCGTCAGGTTGAACGATTTTGTTTTTTCGCGGGCCTTAGTGACAAGTTTCTTGTCCAGTTTCTTGGAGGCACGCTGGACGCGAACCGTCTTGGGTGTCTCTTGGGGCCACTTGGGGGCCGTCTCCGGGACTTTGGATCTTTGGGAACCTTTTTGGGGTATCTCGGGTCGTCTGAGTTCCTTTTGGGCTGTCTTGCAGGTCTCTTGGGGCGATCTTGAACCAATCTCGGGTTGTCTCGGGGTTGTCTTGAACCTTCCTGTGGGCGTTGCTGGGTCATCTTGGGGGCATCTTGAGTTGGGCGCTCGGACTTTCGAAGTGCAAATATGGTAAAGTCTTTCAGACACGATTGCAACCTATTCGACGATCAGCGCCTCTCTTTCAGCTGAACCTGTATCGAATGGCCTTCGGGCAATCCCGCCACCGTGCTTGGGTTGTGGGTCTGAGGCCTCTTAGATGTTCATTGTGATCTCGTCGAGGCCTCTCGGGAGCCTCCTGGAGTCAGTTTTGCAGCCTCGCGGGGCTGCTTGGGTGCCTCTTTAGGACCTCTTGGGGGCCTTTCGGGGTCTCGTGGGGACATCTTGGGGTCCACTTGGCCCTTCCGGGTGCCTCTTGCGGCGGCAGGCTCGAACTTTCGGTTCGCGTTCCCCTTCTTGGGGGCTTCTGGTGCAGTCTTGGGGCGGTATTTGGGTCTTCGTGGGAAGTCCTGGAGCCTTGAACAGAGGAGAACCAACAACATTGAAAAACCATATGATACCGGAGAAAAGCCCCAAACAACATCTTTTTAGGGCTATAGGGCTATGGGGCTATTGGGCTACAGTCCAATGGGGCTATGGGGCTACAGGGCGAAAGAACTACAGGGCTATAGGTCTATAGGTCTATAGGGCTATAGGGCTATTAGGGCCATAGGGCCATAGGGTTATAGGGCTGTAGGGCTATAGGGCTGTGGGGCTATGGGGCTATAGGGCTGTAGGGCCATAGGGCTACGAGTCTAGAGGGCTGTGGGGCTATAGGGTTATAGGACCATAGGGCGATAGGGCTAAAGGGATATGGGGCTATTGGGCTATAGGCCTACAGGCACATAGGGCTATAGGTCTATAGGGCTATAATGCTATAGGGCTATAGGGATATATGGCTATAGGGCTATAGGGCTATGGGCCTACAGGGTGATCGGGCTGTTGGACTATAGGGCTATCGGGCTATAAGGCTACAGAGCTATAGGGCTCTAGGGCGATAGGGCTGTAGGGCTATAAGGCTGTAAGGCTATGAGTCTATAGGGCTATGCGGCTATGGGGCTATCGGGGCTATGGGGCTGTAAGGCTACCGGGCTATAGGGCTACAAGGCACCCGGGCACCCGGGCACTTGGGCACCCGGGCACTCAGGCACCCGGGCACTTGGGCACCCAGGCGGGCCGCGGAAATCGGTGACACACCTCACACCATATGAATCCGCTAGGATGCATACAGAGGCAAGCTCTGACTGGGGAAGGAACATCAATAATTTGTGCCTCTCGGAGCCCTCTTGGGAAGACTCTTCGAGGCCCCTTGGGATGTTTTGGGCGATTATGGCCGACTGGAGGCCATCTTGGACCGATAGTTCAGCGATTCGGGTCCCTCTTGGGTCATCTTTGGGGCCTCGTGCAGTGCTCTTGGCCCGTCTTGGGG